TCTTCGAATCTCGTTACAGAAATTTGGAATCGTTGAAGATCTTCGAAAGCTACATCACATTTTTTATGTATAAGCATTCGCGGGTTGCAATGGTTCTTTGGTTAGCAAAGGTTTCTATGGTCTCTAAGCAAGCCACCATTTAATAAACAACATTAAGGTAGGTCCTCACGCAATAACTGTAGTAATTTATAACATAGCAAGTTCAATGTTGCAAAATCATTTTGAGGTAATTTTAGCAAAAACTGTTGTCTATGTCTAAGCAGGAAGGATCATGATCAAGCTGCAGTATTTAGAATCATTTGTCACCAAATGCAGCTAAATCATAGTGTCATGGTAAGAATCGTTACGCGAGAACGTACCTTTAATGCAAGTCAAACAGACTGTCGAAAGAAGTGGAGGAATGAGAAAGAAGGGTGAGTTTCTCTCAAACAGTAGGTTAACATATCTCTTTCGAGAAAGAAGCAATTGCGTGCATTTAACCCTTAAAGTACCGAAGGCAATTATATGCGATGATCATTCATGATCGTTGTGGCCTAAAAACGCATCAGCGAATTAGCACCGAATTTTCCTAATTTTAGAATTTAGCCCTATACTCTAAGGGTTAATCTTGAAACCGCTAAGGTTTTTACGGCACCGTTCTTCCATCTTCCACTGCGTATCGTTACTTACTTCTTCGAGAACGATAAGATCGGCGATGATTACAGAAACAACGACCAAGATCAAAACAGCAAGGTTTTTATCAAGGACCTAAAACCCCATAGATCCCCGTAGATCTTCAACGTCCAAAATTCGAGAATCACCGGAGGAACACAAGTTAGCCCATCGCTAACAGTGGCATAATGTGCGATTTGCAACAAAGCGACAGAGAAGGGACGCCCAATCAACGTGCGCTCGTTTCCAAAGGATCGTGCACACCGTCTAGCGATCAAAAAAGCGTATCAAGAGAGACAGTGCTTGGACAAGTGGGCTGGTTTACAAAGTGTGGCCGGCTGTTCCCGGCTCGTCGGATCAACTATGTTCCATGGGGAACGCCATGAGCAGGGATGGCTAACTCCTTTCAGCGGTCCTTTACTCCTCGCTCAGTTAATCATAACTAACCGTAACTTCATTTACCGTGCAGAGATAATGTGGAGTCACTTTGATATGATACGAATAGGGCACATATATTGATTATGTGAACAGGACGCGTATAATGACCATATGAGCAGGTCAGGTATATTAATCATACAAGTAGGACATTCTGATCATAAGGATAGAATACGTAGGTTGATCATATGAACTAAACACATATGTTTAAGAGCATACATAACATCATATGAGCAAGATAAATATTTTCATCATTTAAGTAAAACAAATATTTTGATCATATGAACGGAATGCATATACTGATCATGTGAATTGGACGCATACGTTGATCATATGAACAGGACATATATGTAGATCACACGAACATGACGTACATATTAATGGTATAAATATGTTACATATGTTGATTATATGAATATGTCACATGTATTGATCATATGAATAGCATATGCTGACCATAGGAAATCACATATGTTAATCACATAAACAACATATATGTTGACCATATGAACACATTTATGGATCATATGAATATATCATATATGATGATCATATGAACATATTATATATGTTGACTACATGAACATATCACGTATGTTGATTATATGAACAACACACGTATGTTGATCATATGAACATGTAACATATATTGATCAGATGAATACATCACGTATGTTGATCATATGAATATGTCGCATCTACTGATCACATGAACACATGTCACATACATTGATCATATGAACAGAACACATTCATATAATGATTCTGCTCACATCAATTAGGTCATGTAGCTCCATAGTTGTACAGAAAGTAAACAAAGAATGTTAAATTCATCTCAGAACGTTAATTAATGAGTGCAAGGTATCATTCATGTGTATGGGGATTTTATATCAATATATGTCGATACGAAAACAACTTTGACACTCAAGGTAATTTAGTTTAGGATAAGATAGAGCTTTAAAGATGTAATCTTTTTACAATAATTTCTGGATCATACTTTTCTTGTGGATGATACATATGGTTTTACTATGTCAACGTCTGTCATTTTTCAAAGGATTCAAAGGATCTTCTCTGCACAGTACAGAAAGCATTGAGTGCAACTTAGGCTCCTTCTAGTTCAAAGGAAATATTGTCCATAGGGAATTATATCTTATGTTCTAAGATCTCCCTAGAGTAATGTCCCTCAGATTGCAATATTATACAGCAATTAACCCTTCTTATGAAAGTAATTACAGAGGTATTATACATCTAGTTGTTCACCTAGAATTTCACCTACGTTCTTCTAAAACGATAGCCGAGTTAAGTTAATATTTCACTAAAAGAAGCCTATGCTACATCCAAGCGCCTGCTAATCTTTCCTAGAGTAAAAAGTCGAGATTTATACATTATTCCTAGGTGCAAGATGGTTGATAAACAAGCTCGCTCTCCACTTAACTCGTAAATAATCCAGCTTCAAATTGAGTATTAAAATAAATACTCACGTAATGGAGCCTTAATGGCTACCATTTTCTCTAGGGAGGACTGTAATACACCTCGTTCAAACACGATGAAAAATAGGAAGAGTTCGCGAACAGGTTAGCCATCCCTGCATCGGAGGATCACTGGAAGAGTCCTAAGGACTTTCGGGCCGGAGGATCTCCGTCGAGTTTTGGAAAGAGAAAGTCTCGTATCCCGGAAACGGAACAGACAGGTGGAAGTCGGAATGAAAGAATAGAAAAATACAATGGCAAATCAGGCATAGTAACGGAGAAAAAAGACAGACAGAAAAAAGATTAAGAGAAAAAAGAGATAGAGAGACAGAGAGGAGGGATCCACGAATAAGACGATATATTTCTACGTGAAGTCTGCTATGATATCTCGTTAAATCTTCTTTTAATTGTATACTTTTCACGACACACGTGGACGAATACACCTTCACTAGACAACGAAAAGTCAGAGAGAATCAGCTCCGGCTTTCTTCGAGAACGGCTCGTCCTTTCTCTTAGTTATTTTTCTGTCACGAGTCGGGCTTGATCGATGAACTTTTCTCTAATGATCAATACACGCAACACATATAAACGTATGGTATGTATGCGTGTGTATATATAGATCTATACGTATACGCGTACTGTACGGGTACACGTATACGTATAATTAAAAATACACTTTTGGTACTTTCTCATCGCTAGGCGGGTGCCGATGGTGAATGTATAGAAGCATAGCCTATTGCTGCGGGTAATATGTAATGTATAATGCGGCGGAAAGTAGAAGCGAATGTTTGTAATAAACCAACGAGCCAATCAGCGTACAGCTCCTGCGTCCGGCCTCCTCGTGATCGTCCTTCCTGTTTTCTGAGACGTTCAACGATCCTCGCTGACTCCATCGTTTTATTCCTCCCCTTTTAAATTCGAATCTCCTCACCGTTTTCTACGTTTCGGAATATCGCGTCTCGGGTTCAGAGAGGATTCGGCCTTCGCTCGCGTCTCATGAAAACGGGACGAAACGTGTATCTTATGTTCTAAGATCTCCCTAGAGTAATGTCCCTCAGATTGCAATATTATACAGCAATTAACCCTTCTTATGAAAGTAATTACAGAGGTATTATACATCTAGTTGTTCACCTAGAATTTCACCTACGTTCTTCTAAAACGATAGCCGAGTTAAGTTAATATTTCACTAAAAGAAGCCTATGCTACATCCAAGCGCCTGCTAATCTTTCCTAGAGTAAAAAGTCGAGATTTATACATTATTCCTAGGTGCAAGATGGTTGATAAACAAGCTCGCTCTCCACTTAACTCGTAAATAATCCAGCTTCAAATTGAGTATTAAAATAAATACTCACGTAATGGAGCCTTAATGGCTACCATTTTCTCTAGGGAGGACTGTAATACACCTCGTTCAAACACGATGAAAAATAGGAAGAGTTCGCGAACAGGTTAGCCATCCCTGCATCGGAGGATCACTGGAAGAGTCCTAAGGACTTTCGGGCCGGAGGATCTCCGTCGAGTTTTGGAAAGAGAAAGTCTCGTATCCCGGAAACGGAACAGACAGGTGGAAGTCGGAATGAAAGAATAGAAAAATACAATGGCAAATCAGGCATAGTAACGGAGAAAAAAGACAGACAGAAAAAAGATTAAGAGAAAAAAGAGATAGAGAGACAGAGAGGAGGGATCCACGAATAAGACGATATATTTCTACGTGAAGTCTGCTATGATATCTCGTTAAATCTTCTTTTAATTGTATACTTTTCACGACACACGTGGACGAATACACCTTCACTAGACAACGAAAAGTCAGAGAGAATCAGCTCCGGCTTTCTTCGAGAACGGCTCGTCCTTTCTCTTAGTTATTTTTCTGTCACGAGTCGGGCTTGATCGATGAACTTTTCTCTAATGATCAATACACGCAACACATATAAACGTATGGTATGTATGCGTGTGTATATATAGATCTATACGTATACGCGTACTGTACGGGTACACGTATACGTATAATTAAAAATACACTTTTGGTACTTTCTCATCGCTAGGCGGGTGCCGATGGTGAATGTATAGAAGCATAGCCTATTGCTGCGGGTAATATGTAATGTATAATGCGGCGGAAAGTAGAAGCGAATGTTTGTAATAAACCAACGAGCCAATCAGCGTACAGCTCCTGCGTCCGGCCTCCTCGTGATCGTCCTTCCTGTTTTCTGAGACGTTCAACGATCCTCGCTGACTCCATCGTTTTATTCCTCCCCTTTTAAATTCGAATCTCCTCACCGTTTTCTACGTTTCGGAATATCGCGTCTCGGGTTCAGAGAGGATTCGGCCTTCGCTCGCGTCTCATGAAAACGGGACGAAACGTGGTCTCGAGGCGGGTTCGTCGTGATCGGCGCGACGATCGCGAACCCCGCGAGCGGACGCGAGCTCGCGCAACTCTTTAGGGCGGGTTACCTTAAAAATAAGGTCGCTTTTGCTGAAACCGGACTTCTTTTTACTCATATTGTCAGAACTTAGGCGCCCCCTCCGCTCAGTGCGTTTTTTTTGTAGGTTCTGCAATATCTAGAAACAAAAGAAAGCGGGACATAGCAAGACGTAGTAAGAAAAGGGTCAGGTTATCAAGAGATTCGTATAAAGAACAGACAGAAAGAGAGAGAGACAGACAGTGAACGGGAGAAGATGAGGACAGAAAAAGATCGACAAAACGGAAGAACACAGAGAAAGGAAGTTAAAAGAAACGTCGTCGCAAATGTGGTGGTGGTGATGGTTATGGTAGTGGATAATGAACAAAATAATACGTTGTTTCTATCGTCACACGTTGTCGTCACAGTGTTTTTTCTTTCTTCTCAGAGAAACAGAAACAGAGAGACAGAGATAGAGAGAGTGAGAAATAGATAGATAGAGAAAGAGAAAGAAGGCGTGGGAAAAAGAGGATCGGCGACAGGATTTTTCATATTCTTTTCTTTTTTCTTATCCCTTTCTTTTCGTTTCTCTTTCTTTTTGTTTCGTTCTCTCGCCGGGTAGATAACCCGCGTGCGTGACAAAAATACGCTCTCTGTTTATTTCGTGGGGGACGCATGGGGCTCTATGTAGATACGACGCTGTTCCTAAAAACACCATCCTAGGAGTTTCTTTGCTGATGGTGATCCGGTTACCAAAATGGATGACCGTGTTTCGGTCATCCTTTCTCGTGTGATCACACATCGTGGGGTCAAAAAAAATGAAAATATTGAACCGGTGTTTCGTGTTCCGTTCACGTGTACTTTCACTTTTCGGTTTCTTTATTTGAGGGGTGTGCTATGATCGGTGGACGTGAAAAATACATGTTGCATCATGATGATAATAATAATTAGGAGAAGAATAAATTGATGGGTTAGTGAGTAAAGAAGTAAAAGTCAAGAAAAGCCATTCGTTAGTATCAAAAGCTTTCGGTTGCAGCAGTCGCGCCAAGCGTGAAGCCGCAGTTTCTTGTCAAAGCTCGTTAATTAAAGGCTCGATAGATCGATTTAGCCAGTCAATAGCGACGGTGGACACAATCGGAAAGTTTCTTTAGTCGCTTGTATGAATTACAGAAAAAATTCGCTTTTTTACCGATTTTAGAATTCTGGACTTTCTTCATTTTAGATAACGAATGATGTTCTTTCGTTAGGTCGGTAAGTAAATTCGCGATCTTCTGCGAAAACGCTTCGATTTGCTAAGCAAGAAAAAGATTGTCAGAAAAAGGATAAAAGATTGTTGTACATACTTACTCTGAACAAGACGTTGATTTATCAAAATTTTGCTCGCGAATTTAATTGCCAACCCAATATGGTGGTCATAGATTCCATAATTTATGGCCACGAAAAGTGTAGAACTTAAAAATGGTAAATTCATGAAAATTGCCCCTTCAAAATGAGAAAATGATTTCCTAATTTTAAAGTCAAATGATTTACGTGGAAAACGCGTCGCGCAAAAGGTAAAAAATGATAAAATATTCAAAAGGAAAGCAATAAAAAGACCGACTCGGTTACTCAAATAAACCCTGTAAAACTTAAGAAACATAAAACAGATTTCTACAAATCTTCGTGAATAAGGGGTGTTTAAAATTAGAGAAACGGTAGTTCTCTTCAAGGGGGTGTGTCTCGACGATCAACGAACGAAGAAGAATCCCCTGTAATTTATCACTTTTTCACGACAGCTATGATTAATCGTTTTCTAAGATCCAGCGTGGTTTCTCGAGGTTGCGGTTCAAGTGGACGTTGCAGAACGACACATCATCGTTCGACGTCGAAGAAAACCAAAAACATCCTTGAAGAATCGATGTCGATCGAGAAGACCGGCAAATGATAGTATCTAGTATGTAAGAACTGAATACCTAAGTACTTTAACGCTTATAAACTTTTGCGTTTATAATATTAATGGCAACTTTTTTAACGTGTTGAATGCCAGGTTGAAGAGGGATGTATACTAGTAGTAATATATTAAAAAATTACTAGCACGTCTTATCAGAAAATTACTAGAATTTTCTATGATTTTAAGTTGCAAGGTTTTAAAGCTCCAAATTGTAAAATTAAATGAGTACGTTTTTTGATATATTTTAGAAAATTTAATAATTTGGAGATGTAAGTTCTGAAATTTTATAATTCCCTAGATTTTTAAGTTTCGATGTGTCTTCTTAAAGTTTTAAAATCTTTAAGTTCCCTAGGTCTATAAATTTTTAATATCCAGGTCCTCTAGGTCTCCAAAATTTAAAATCTTTAGGTTTTCTAAATCTCTATAATGTAGAATCTCTAGGTTCCTAAATTAATTTGTAAGATTTCACAATTGTCTGGTTCCTAAACTGCAAAATTCCACAACTGTGTAATTATCAAGATTCAAAGTCCCATAATTCCCTAGATAAATTTTAAACTCTTAGTCTCCTATGTGCTAAGTTTAAACGTTAAAAAATTCCTTAGATTCCCTGTATTTTTAAATTCTCAAGTTTTCCTAAATTCTAAGTTTCAAGTTTTAATGTGCCATAATTCCCTATATTCCTAAGTTTCCTTTGACAATTCTCTAGGTTCTACTTATTATAGTTCCAAAATTCCCTACATCACTAAGTTTTAATTTTCAAGGTCCTAGATCTTTAATTTTTAAATTTTTAAAGATTTTTAGGTCCTACATTTCAAAGACAACTCCCTAGATTCCTAAACTGAAGTTCTATAATTCCCTAGATTTTAAAATATTAAATATTGAAGTTTGCTCAATGTTTCAAATTGCAATGTCCAAAATTCCCGAGGTCTGTACTCTAAATACTTGAGATTTTTTAAGATCTAAGTTTTAAAAATTCACAAGTCTCTAGGTTCTTATGTTCCAAAGTTTCATTAATCCCTAGATTTCAAAGTTCCAAACTGTTAGAGTTTTATAAATTATAATTTTTCGAAATCCCCTAGATCTATAAATTCTAAATTCTCCAAGTTCCATAGGTCTAAATAAGTTTCAAGGTCCTATAAATCCCTAGGTTTTTACGCTACAAATACAACTTGTTGAAGCCCCCTAGGTGTCTCAGTTCTAAATTCTCAAAATTCCCTAGATCCACAGTTCCAAAGTTTCTAAGTTTCGTTTGAACCCATTCCTGAGATCCAAAGTCTCATAATTGATTAGATTAAAAAATTTCAAACTGTAAAGGTTCCTTAAATTCTACTGTTCAAATTCAAAAGTTTCCTAAAGACCTAAGTTCCATAGTTGCAAACTGTCAAAATCCTAAAACGTTAAAGTTCTAGTTCGATATAATTATTCAGTTATTTGTCTTAATATAATTATTCAATTACATTGAATATGCGGCGTCAGTTATCAAAAACCCAGATGGCATTCAACGCGTTAATAAGAACCTTGCAAAAACTCCGCATCCAGTTGAAATTACCAAAGCACCAGTTGCACCTTCCCTTTATCCTCAGAATTTCAATTAGAACTATCACTGTTGATAAACGCGTTGGAAGTTTCATGAACTTCGCTGGAAAACTCTTCAGCGTTGTTCGTCTTCAGGTTCTCAAGGGTGGCGCTACACGAAGAAACCCGGCATTCCCAACGATATCACAACAAAATAAAAAACAACGAGCAAAAACTGTTGTGTCGGATGCAGTTCGAGATCTAGAAATCGACCTATCAGAAACGCTACATGTCTCTGTCTACGAGTTGTCTTCCGGTCCAAAGAAACGAGGGGGAACATGGTGAACGGAACACGGAAGCAACGCAAGAAAAAACAAGGTGGTCAACGAAAACAGACGACGGGGGGTGAACAAGAAGGATTATTACATCTTAGTTCGAACCTTGAACCAGGCATATATCTAAACAACACAGAACAGCAAGCAAAAAAACGCAACTCTGGACTATGAGATTAATGTCTGTCCGGTTGACCAGGGGTTAGACTGGGAGCTGGGTCAGATACAAACGAAAAAGTAAACACAAGGGAACACACACCGAACACGGGCACATCGCCAACAAAACAAGATAATACTTCGGGCAAATAGGGTTAATATATACACCTAACACTCACAGGCAGACCTACGCAGTCAGTTCAACCAACTTTCTCGTCTGCGGAGCAACCAGTCGTGTCGAATACCTTCTTCCATTAACATTTCGCTTCATGAAATTTCAGCTTCCCCGTTCTCGACTGGCCACCGCGACTGAACCCATGGTGATCGCCATCGTCAACGTCGATGGGTCATATCTGCCTTGAATGTAGAACTGGTATCGGGATGAAACAAGGTCGGTTATTGATCCACATGGTCGATATACATGCGCACCGTGTCCAACCAGGTGAACCTAAAACGGTGACCATCGGGAACGAAGGACACCGCGGTATTCGACACGACCCCATGGCTACACGCTAAACAGAACTCGTGTAATACCTAACAGCTGAACGAGGACTCTCGACAAAACACATGACAGCGTATCATACCAAATCGTTCCCAAGAACCTTCACATGGATCGAGATGCGGCGTGACACGGACATTAATGATCCATGTGTAGCCAGGACGGTAAGCTGGATCAAGAGCTTCGTTTCGTGAGACAACGTCTTTTTGACTAGAGTCCGAGGACCTCTGCTAACATGACTCTCCAACATCGTTACCAATAGAGATCTATGCTATGAATATCGAGCGCATGTCACGTAACTCGCACGATGCAAGACACACACAGAACAAAAGAGTCTAACCTCTATGTCATTCGTTCAGTCACAACTCTATACCATGTCGTGCAACAACATCGATCTCTAACAGGTTCGGTACCGTGGGACTGTTTTATGTGCTTTTGATACGTGGTCTGTATTGATGCTGGTAGCGAACGTGTTAAGAAACCAGAGACAAAGGAAAAGGATCAAACGAAACCGAGTGTACAGTCGCGAGCAGCTTAGGCTTCCCTCAGCCATTCTTTAATGACACTTTGAAAATTAATAATCTTGTAGGGTATGTGGAGTCAAGCATTCGAGTGTTATTCGTCTACTGGGTACTGTGGACGTAAAATTATGACTGATTCCATAAAAGATTGTTCATATGTTATGAGCACGTGTACGGACAACACTAGGATTTATTTATTTATTCGCG